TCTTCTTCGGAACTGCTGCCTGGAACTCGTATATTCTCCTCTATTGGCAATACTGAAAACTCCTGTGCATGCTTTACCCTCTCTGCTATTGCGCTTGAGGAACGGACAGGCCACCGCCTCATCCTATACCAGTACCGGAGGGCCAGATAACCGGGCAATCATCACGCCCGAGTTCGCCACGCGTGAGGAAAGGTCAGCAGGTCAGAGCCCGCATGGCGTTCAACAGACCACCAACACTCAAGAAGGCAATTACGGTTGATTGTCGTCGTATGTTTGCAGTAATTACTGTATCCTGAAAATACTGCGAATTCATGTGCAAGTGCTACTCTATCTGCTATTGCTCTCCGACTTTGTTTCTGAAAAGAAGACTACTCAATCGCTGGGACAATACTTTTATTCACCTGATCTTTCGAGATCCGTCGCGGATTCGTTATCGGAGACATAGTCAAAGAGCAGTAGCAAGTCGCCACTTGGGGTACAGACAGGCCTACACACACACACCACAGGGCCAGATGACCAAGCAATCATCACGTCCCAGTCCACTATGCATGATGAAGTTTCAAGAGGTCAGAGCCCGCATGCCCTCCAACAAACTATTCACACACAAAAAGGCAATTAACGTTAGTTTTCTCTGTATGTTTGTAGCAATGACTTTGTCCTTTAAATACTGCAAACCCCTGTGTATGTACATACAGCGATTGAGTAGTCTTCTTCTCAATGACTTCTTGGGACTCGCATGTTCGCTTGTATGTCTCTGAAGACGAATCCGCGACGGATATCAACAATTCAGGCGAATAAAAGTACTGTTTTAGCGATCGAGTCGTCTTCTTCTGAAATATGAGTTCTTTTACTGGAAAATGAAGCCTCTGTTTTTAAGGCCTATATTATACCCATGGTGCTTGCTGAGGTTGCTTTGCTGTCAACATGCGTTCTTACCTGTGCCTGGATGCGGATTTCAGTGTTCGTTTATAGTACATTTTATCGCAGGCTCCGCAAGCAACTTGCAGAAAATTTCTTATTTCAGTGCTGATAAACTTATGAAGGTTACCGAAATACTCTCTAGCCTTGCGATTAATGCTAACCATTCCTGATTATGCTTATCATGCCTAACTTACCGCCAAATTCATTAAGGTTGTCCCTTTTTGTGAGGGATCTGAACAGCCAGGCTGCCCCAGCCAGCATAGTACTGCAAAGGTAGCCAAACATGACGCCACTTCCTGTTAGCCGCGACCAGAAAAGGGTCAGCGTGATGCAGCCTGGTGTCGCCCCACAGAATACAATGTAAACTTTCTGGAGAACTCCTATTATGTCCTGGAAGGGGAAAGAAAGTTCAAGAATGCGGGTGGAAAAAAGACTAGTGCATCTTAATTCCGGTTTTTGAAACCGATGTTCTAATTCATTACCATATTAAATACGGGAGTTGAATAAGTACGATAGGAGGAAACCTTACAGCAGCAATAAATAACTGCAAGTTAGAGAAGCTTCAACGAGAAAAAGTTATCACAAATATGCTGAATGGTTAAGTCCTCCACTTCCAAAATTATGTTCATATCAGAAAATGAGTCCCACACCTGCGAACAAATGATACATCGTTTATGCTTACTACTTTACCCGCAGTACAATATACGTTTTACTTCCCTGAAACAACTTTTAGGTGCTCTAGTCAAAGAAAATAGATGTAATATTTTCGTAAGTAAGGCAGTTACGTGGGCAAAACCTGAATGCAGTCCAGCCACAGCAAGTAGTTACATCTAAACCTACGACGACAGATGACATTACAACAATAACCAAATTAAAGATTTATTTTTTCTTTACAGTGAGTTCGGATGCTCCAACTAACCTGGGGTCACTACTCATAAAGGATTTGAAGCGAAAATTTCCTACTTCGACTTTATCAACAATGGCGAAGGTGATTATTACTATCAACTCCTGGATGCATTGCAGGAGATCACTCAAAGCTGAAATTTATAAGTCGGTGATGAATTTTAATAAGGTGATCACCTTCAAGAACTAAAGCGTCTTGACTATGATACTCAGACTTAATTAATATTTGAGTTCTATCAGCATGTTCTTTTGATTTTCGATATTTTCCAAATTCGGCGAGGACGACGCAAGTGACAACAGACAAGAAAATGCAAGCTTTTATCTTCTCACTACCAACATCATCCGTTGCTGCCTCTAGAATCCAACATCCATCTAAAAAGAGGAGCGAAATTAAAAAACGCAAATTTAACCTCTAATTTGAATGCATTGATAACTTTAACTAAGTGCATGGCATGTCAAAAATTCTTTCGGATAAAAATGTAGCTCTTGCCCTATGCCTTCTCGTCAGGCCTTCCTAGTTTTCCCTGTCTTTGTCGGTAATGCCCTTCTGCCTATATCCTAGCCGCCTCGTGGTGGAGGCTCGAGTGAGAGCTCCAATGGCAACATGAACAGACGAGTGTGTCATCTAACTGATCAGTGTACGCGTATCTGCTACCATGTGTATGTCTATATTCTGACCTTTTGTCGAAATAGTGTCCAATCCGCGTATACTATACAAGCCAATTTAAAGCAATTGTTCTGGATTGTCTTCGTTTGGCCTGTTAATATTCCTGAAAAATAGGTTTGCAGTAAAACTGGGCGCGGCAATATGCTTGGATTAACGGCTACGGGGCTCGAAATTGCGTTGAATGAGGAGCTGAGGAAAAGGTTAGCGGTTTGGTTTTGGTTTAACGGTAAGATTTCCCAGCGATTTTCGTGTGCCTATTGTTAAGGTTTAAAAAGGGTTGTGTAACCATTCTATAAAGTAATAACTTAAAAATAAATAAATATTAATTAATGCTTATTAAGTAAATAGCCAAATTAATAGTAATTAATAATAATAACAAATACTTATTTTTACTTATGAATTTACTCATTAAGTTTATTATTTTTCATTCATTGCATTTCAGGACAATTAGTCTCCCAATGTTTGCCCGCGATCCGCTGAAACTCTTGCTGCACAAATTTCATGACACAAAATTTTATTCAAATTGCGCACTGGGTTGTAATGGAGCTAACATATTAAACCAAAATGTTCCATAGTTGCGACTTCCCTTATTTTTACTTTTAACTTTTCCAGTCAGTTAGAACTTTCTCCTCACCCTTAACGCCTATATTTACTATCCCCGTATTAAATTACCCACTTATTTTGGGTTGTTAGTGCAGTTGCATAGTAGGCCGCTCAAGATAGTTCAGGATGGGGTGTGCATATCCCTGCCCTACCAGAGAGCATAATCTATCGAACTGCATTGAAGTGTTTTTGCTGGATATCAGGAAAATTATTTCTATGCCTAATTCACGTCTAATCTAATTAAACGGCCTTCGGCCGTCTTGATTGCACTATCAGGCCAGATGATATGATTAAATTATATGCATTCATTTCTGCAACGATCAATGCAATCGTTGCTAAGACCTTCATAAAGATGCGACAATGAAATACTGCATTCTTCGAGGAGCTCTTCGATAGTACTGATATTTCTAGAATTAATAAGGTAAGTATCCGTTTTCGTCGGTTCGAATTCAGTTTTAAGGAGATAAAGAAGTTCATCAGATTTTTCTTGTAAATGACAACGCTGTGTGGCCCTGACTACCTGGTGACAAATAATTCAATTCATATTGCGTAGCGTATAAGTCTGTAAAATGCTTGCACTCGCGTAACCGAGGACATGTTCTTTTAGATCAAAGTCTACAAATAAAAAGCACCAGCCACGACGTAAAGATTATCACAGATATTCTCATAATTACTGTTTGTTTGGTCATCGATAACGATCTTTCTTTACGGGATTGCTTCCGATGCAGAAGTATGCGTTATAAACCCTTCCCAATTTTGCCTTATTAGGTAACTGCCTATCAAGCAATCAATATCCTCTCTCCTGTGTGGTAGTTGCGAAGAATTATGTTAAGATTGGATGTATACTAAAATCATTTACCTAAGAAACAGGCCTGACTGGAATTCCATATGCTACTACTTCAAAATATGATGTTATCGAAATGTCTGCATAGAAGATTCAAAGATAAGCTGAGATCGTATAAGACGAATATGAGGAAAGTTCAGTTGGCCTCTTTGAATATGCTTCTAAATCAGTTAACCAAGCTAGTCCCTATAAGTTCCCAGGCTATAATCCGTCAAGATGGCGGCGTTATATTAGTTTGTTATCGGTCTCTCATTTCATCGTAATATTTCCCTATACCCTTCATCGATCTTCAATCTCCTCTTACGGTATCTTTATTCCTCATTTAATATTAAAAATCTGCTCCGACAAGGCAGGCATTAAAAGTATGATTTTTTACTCTGAGTATATTAACTGCTAATTTTGGACAATAGATGAGAGCACTGAACATTTAGACATATTTTATTCCTGAAAACTCGACTTACCGTTAACAACCTGCATCACGCTAAATACAGCTTTGAGTAAGAAAGTGATGACCACGATGATGTGTGCAGTTGTTCCAAACCGGCTCTTCGCAACCTGAGGAAACGTTTTAGCACCGGGAGCTTTCGTACGCATCTCCAGGAGGATCAGAGAGAACAGCATGATCGTAACTGAAGTGCTGGTGCTATAGAGAATTGGACTAAGGATGCCAACCTAATGGAAGAGAAGATAGGGGGTCTTGGTTGAGGTTTGTCGGTTCTCGTTGCATTAACTTTCAGTGTTATTTATTTATCTATTAGACAATAGTAACCAGTGTGGTTTATCAGTCTCAGGAAATTTGCAGTATTGATTAATCAGTTTAACTTCTTGATACACAATGGACGACTTTAAATGTGGTCCATGCCTACTTTGGAACAGACTTTAAAATCTCCTCTTTTCCTGAACTGAATAAAGTAGAAAAATAACAAATGCCGTTAATTCTTGAGACCAAGGCGACCTTTGATTTCGCCAAAAATTGGGGAAAAGTAAGTCTCGGCATATTATAGGAGTGGTTTCGAATAAATGTGATATTTCTGCAACATTTTATAAACTCAGATAAGCTTAATTGCTCTTCATTTCTCCCAAATAAATTTACATTGACATAGAAGCGAAAAGGATGTCAAAATGTGTGTAAAAGTAATCAACAACACCTATATCTTATAATAGACAATTGACGTAATCAAAAGCCTTTCAGGCCTCATGGTAATATATAGTCATCATAACAGTTTCAAATGTGGGTGATAAGTGTCGCGTAGACGTTCGACAATGTTGGACACAGTCCACAAGTACGAATTTTTATATGGACGATTTCTTTCATATGCTACTCGTAACAATAAGTAGGGTGCAGTGAATTTCTGGAAGTAGACTTTCCTACAGGAATTATAATAGGATATTGAACATACTCTCGAGTCACATGTTATTTTAACGATCACAGATTTAGGTTGATGCTTTGCTCGAAAATTAGTTTGCCAGCTGTACATCAAACAAATAAAAGGGGAAAGCTTATCAGCATCTTGTTTTCTGGACTTTTCCTTTCTTGTTTGCAGTAAATTAACCCAAGTTCTAAATATGTGTAGTTAATTCGATGAAAAAACTCTAATAGCCGCATCAGAAAATGAGAAAGTGACCTCTACTTTGAAAACGCAGATATCACATCCGTCGGACCTCGCAAGCGCCAATACGAGCCTAAGCACGGAAAACAACTTGTTATCGGGACTGACGCAATTTTGGATATGTTACAAAAAATGTTTACTTACAACCAGGACAGGGAGGCACTGCCTTAAGCAGGCGGGAGTTTCGGGCAAATTTTGAAATGAACGGCCGATCACTTTGCTGGATTTCCTGCTAACGAAATTCAGACACCTTTAAACGGGCGGTCATTCTTGGTCGTTGCATGTGAATGTATGCCGACGTTTGTGAACCCACATCAGTAGTTATTACAAAATATTAGCAGATAAAAATGTGGGTTAGGGAAATAAAATATCGTGCAGCGTCAACTGCCGGCTTCGCGAGAGGTAAGAATGCTTGAACTTCAGTCGTGCACAAAATCACGAGCAAAGGCACATTTTATTATCTTCTTTTCTAATGTGACATGAGCGGCCTGTTTTTCTGAACCTCACTAATGAAGCACTTGATGTTTAGTAAAAAATATTCTTACGCCTCAGCCGTCCATGAACGCAATAAAAAAGTTCGGTTGATGATATTTTTTTCTAATTTGAGATGAGTTGCGTTCCCATTGTGAAAGCGCAACATTTATTTTCTTCGCATTTGACTAGCATAGGCATATTGGCAGTAGATACGAATAACTCGTTAAGATAACTTTTGCAAAACGAATCTTCCATTTATAGATAGAAAACGTTAAAACTATCCAACCAGAATTTTGGCTGTAGTGAAAAGTGACAAAAACAGCGTATTAGTTCAAGCATCATTAGTTGTTAAGTTCTCAATGGACGATACATATCTCCACTACCATTATCGCAGTCACCGTGGGCGAATGAAGTTGGCCCCCAGTCAAAGAGGGCAATGAGGGTCAGTGCTTTACGTCATTTAGCCGAAATTGTGTGCGTATACTATAAGACTGGCCTTGCAGCCAAACCAACCTCTACGAATACGCAACCAAATCGGAATTAGCCGATCTTCCGAGCAACGAAAAGCATACTCAATGCATCGTATCTTTGATTGTTTTCATTGAACAAGTTGTTTGCACAAAGGAACATAATTCGACATTGGATGGGGAACAATAAAAGAGGAATGTTGGACCGAAAGTTGAGGTTTTCCATCCTGCTTGTCTAAACGTGACTGTTGGTACACCTGAGATTTTGCATGGCTGGCTGATGATGATTAATAAGTCAGAAGCGGCCGTTCCACTCTCCTTTGGCGTCGCTCATAGTTTTATTCTGCCTATGGGGCGATTCGTGAGTAAGTCCCAAGGCGCAAGAGGCCGAGTGATATTCGTAGCTGATTGGTGAGCTGATTGGATTTCTACCATTGTTACTATTCCCAGTCGAAACCTACAAGAAATCGAGGCACTAATGTGGTGGTAGGACGGGTTGAAATTTTAACCGCGAGGTTACGGGTTCGAATTTTGAGCGGTTTAGAACCTTATTTTGGGTATGTGTGGTTGTTAACAGCTAATAAGCCAGAAATGAGGATTTAAGTTTCTGTCATCTTGGTTGTAATGTTAAAGCAAATAATGGATATAATGTAGGAATATTGTAAATTATAGGCTTACTTGTGTTGCAAGGTTAACCCAATAGATGATGGTATTTGGCCAAAAGATCTGGACAGCCAGGTATGTCATTGAAAAGCCGAAATTCGTCTTCACATAGGGAGCCAGTTTTTCCTGAAAAAAGGTGTAATTCTTAATTCCGTGTATGTAAGGTGCACGCTTTCAATGAATTTGCCTGTTCAGCCAATAAATCGACACAATGCTATCCAAAAAATGTAACAGCAAGGTGGGCTTTTGGTGGTGTGGAACTATAAATATAAACCTATTAAAAAGAGCACAATTTGATACCTGCAAAAGTCATTAATTGTAGTTCTTATGTATTGTCCATTACGCTAGACATTTTGGATCGTCATTCCTTGTTGTTCCTTGTAATGCATAACATCTATGAACACCATTAGGCGGCTGTAGATAAATTCACCATGAGTCAAATAATTTATTTATTGGGGTCGATTACAAATCTAGTTATAATCTAAGCTCCACTCCTTCTGTTCTGCCTAATATACAGTAACATAATGATCGGTAATATAACGAGGTAATTACAAAGAAAGATGTAAAAAGAATCGAGTGGCCAGCTTTGGCTGCCCAACTTATCCTAAGTCGTTGTCTATCGACCAATGTGGTCAGTATGGAGATGGCTGACTGCGATAAAAAAAGCCGCAAGTGGACATCCCAGTCCCTCTTATCCTTCTCAGTACTGATTCCATATTTACTACTCATAACTATGTAATATTCTCCTACTCGTGAAAGCACTTCAAAGACTGTTTCCATCTCCATAGTTTGCAACTCTCTGCGATGACACAGTCACAGTGTCCATAGTGTCGTTTGTCGATACATTTCAGAAGCCTCATCGTACGCAGGGAGACAATGACCTTGCCCAACACTTTAGGATTCAGCATATGTTACGTTAACTCGATAACTGTGTCCTATTCCGACTGGGATGCGCACTTTCAATGTCACTAGTAAGACCGGATCGGGTCGTAGTAATGACACTGTGGTACTCCCCGTCATCAGAGGCGCACAGCGCACCAGCACCATTGTCCAAATTTATTGATTAGGTACGATCACGAATACTGGCCTAGTTCAAATGAATTAGTACTCCTTTTAAATCTGTTGATTAGGCGGGCGTCATGGGGGATTTTGCGATCGGTATCTGATGATGATCACTAATAGTTGCCTGTCGGGTCCTCTGATTCGATAAACCAGTAATTATGGCAGTTATTGTAAATATTGAAGAAACGAAGCTCCGTTTTGCAAACGAACGTTGGCGATTAATTCATCATCAGGCAAATACAAGAATATAAGGAGGGTAGAGTTAATAGAAGTTTAAGCAACCAATCCGTAGTAATTCGGAGGAGGGGAGTTGTTAAAAGGGCTCAAAGGGATTCAGATCCTAGTCATCATTAGGGATCAGAAAGGGGAAACGGGGGAAAGATGTCCGACAATTAGCTCATGTAGCCCTGTAGTCTTTGGCTCACGTTTTGTTGGGAGGTGTGAGGACGCGAGTTGTCATCGTCTCATGACGGCGTGCGTTGCCTGGAAGTGCTCGCTGTCATTATCTCGTCGCCGTTTCATGGCGTGGGGACACCCCCTGTCGCCGTCTCCTCATCGGCTCACTGATTGGTTACTTCAACTTTTGTTAACTCTACCGTCCCTCATAGTATTGTATTTGCCGGTTGATGAATTACTCGAAAACGTCCGTTCGCCCAACTTGACTTCCTGAATGTTTACGTGGGTATCATTACTGAATTAATATTCTTTGCGGGGGCGTTAGAGGAACTTTTGATTTAATGACATCGAATAATGATCACTAGCTGTTGCCTGCCGAATCTTCTCATTCGGTAAAACCATGATTACAGTGACTTTTACTCGGTGTTTATTACAGTTACTTCATGCTTTTTTACCCTTGGGTGCAGATTAAGATTTGCTCCTTTAGTGTTAGGAATTAAATGAGAATAACTGACTATGAACAGAATAACGAAGATGCAGGTAACCTCATTATGACTCAAACGCTCAAGTTCCTCGATGGGACACTGCCATCTCAATGGAAGGCAGGCTATCTGCTGTAGAGAAAGAAGAGTTCTGTTGATATTTAGCGGAGGCCCACTAAAATTGTAGGTAATTGTCAAAATAGGGTTCAGCGGGTCTAATGTCATTGGATGGAGAGTTCGAACAAAGGCATAATCTCCCCTGTCATTTGCCTTAAGTAGGTAGCCTGATAGCATTTGGGCAAATAGCATTAACACTTATCCCAATGGCGTGATAAGCCGCTAATAGTCGGTGAAGATGAAAACAAACGGGAGAGAGTTCGCGTGTAACGGGTGCATTGGCGGTAATTCTTAATTGAATTGGAACATTAATTTTCAGATACTCTCCCTCTCTCCGCTTACTCTCCTCTGAATGATACTAAGTGACATCGAAAGGGCCACAAGCAGTTGACTTTTAGCGGCGCCCGCTTCCTTTCGGAATTAGCCAGTCACGTGAAGAATATGAATGCCAAATTATTTTTCATTTGACAAAATACAAAAATTGAATACATACAGAAGAGGTCATAGAAACGGTCAGGGAGGTCAATTTTTAAATTGGGCTACTTAGTCTAATTAGAAACGTAAGTAAGTGAAGCATTGTGGACAGTTAGATAGGGGAAAAACGTTAAAGCATTTTTGCTTTAACGCATTTTTGCCCGCATTTTTGCTTTAACGTTTTTCCCCTATCTCACTGTCCAGAATGCCTCACTTACTTACGTTTCAAATAAGACTAATTAGCCCAATTTACTAATTGACCTCCCTGACCGTTTCTATGACCTCTTCTGTATTTTTAATTTATTTGTTAAAATAACTATGAGAAATAATTTGAACATACAAATTCATTATATTTGACGGGCCTAAATCGCGCACTTGGTAGACCGAATGAAGAAGGGATGTATTCACTTGCTGTAGAACTCATAAAATTTATTCTTTCAGATTTCTCCGGCTATAATCCTTGTTAACTCATAATTAACTTAATAGTTCGTGTACATTCTTACTGTGTCTTGAGATTTTCAGTTAGCTCGATAGGGCATAGTGTCATACTCAAAGACCAAAGGTTGCGGGTCCGAATTTTGGGAAGCACCACTACTGGGATTGGTTTTTGGCTGGCTGATGACGGCTACTAAACCAGAAGTGGCCAGTACGGCCTCCCTTGTCTTTTTCGGTTCCTCTCCATCAACTACGCTACTATTTAGCGTTATCCATATTCGAGTTTCTCAAGTTTTGTCTGGAGTCAGTGCGGCTGTATCGAACAAGCTTGCCCTACATCATGTGACCCACCGCGGGATAGACGTAAATGTGTGGCTTGTAAGTGAATCATTTGTAGGAATAATATACATTTGCAGAATCTGCCGTATCCT